CTGCCAGGTCTCTTCCCATTGCTCTTTTGCCCTTTTTCCTCCTGTCAGAAAGCTGATTGCTGTCTTCATATCCCTCCCAAGCCAAGTAGCTATGCCCTGAACTCAGATACCTTGCATGAGCAAGAGCGATATGAAGATCTCGGTATGGTATTAGAAAGGGGAGAAGACATTTTTCCTTGGTTTCTGAAATCTGCAAAAAAAATTAATTGAAATATAAACTCTTTTGGATTTCTGACAAACAGATAAGGTGGGTGAGGTAATATCTTTTATCGGGCCAACTTCTGTTGGTGAGAGAGTTGCACAGAGCTCTTCTCCAGCTCTGTGCAAGCTCGGAAGCTTGTCTATCACCAACAGAAGTTAATCTAATAAAAGATATTACCTCACCACCTTATGTCTCTCTATTATCCTGTGACCAACACGGCTACAACAACACTGCATATGACAAACAGATGTCATTATTATCATTACTAATGATGATCTTTCTCTTTTGGCTCTTGATCACATATGACTGTTTAAAAAGACAGTTGCTGAATGCTAATAATTCCAGTGCAAATAGAAAGGGAGTTTAGGAGTTATTTTTTTCTTTCATCCATGCCTGGATTCAGCTTGCCGTACTGCCTTATGTCTTTCTCTGCTCTCATATCAACATAGCAACCAACTAAGCAAACATGATTGGAAGTCAAGGAAGAGACAGTAATACAAAGGATTTAACCAAGATTTTTTTTCTAGCCATGTTGCTCAAATGTACAGTAAAGAACAAAAGTCCCATGTTCCCAGGAAAAATACCTGTTGTGGTAGCAGGATTGTATTAAATCACCTGGTTATGTGCAAAGTGGAGCAGAATCATGTGAGAACCTGCGGTTGAAACCTTGAGACTCTTCCTGGGCTGTGTGGAGATTAGAATATTGTGGAATTGTTGATATCAATCTCAAATCAGAGTGGAGGATGCTTCACATTTAAATTACCACAGTCGTGGCGATTAACTCATAGGGGAGTAGTGACCTTAAAGGCGTAGCTTGCTGCCCTCCCATCTGTGGATAGAGCCCTGTGTATAGGGCGGCTCAAGCCATCAGAGAACTTGGAAGGGAGGGCAAATAGTGTACCAAAATATAAAAAGTGTTGTGTAGCGCGAGTAGAGGTCCGTCAAGGTGAAAGGATAAGCTAACTGCTTCATAAACTGTAAATGTACAGCAGGGGTCGGCAATCTTTCAGAAGTGGTGTGCCGAGTCTTCATTTATTCACTCTAATTTAAGGTTTCGCGTGCCAGTAATACATTTTAACATTTTTAGAAGGTCTCTTTCTAGAAGTCTATAATTACATACAATAGTTAAGTTATATAAGTAAATAAGGTTTTTAAAATGTTTAAGAAGCTTCATTTAAAATTAAATTAAAATGCAGAGCCCCCCGGACCAGTGGCCAGGACCCGGGCAGTGTGAATGCCACTGGTTGCCTACCCCTGATGTACAGTGTCACTGAAATTGAATGCAGCTACTCCTGGGAAAGATGGCAGCAGCCAAGTAGCACATTGCACAACAGTGTGAGAGGTGAGCTTTTGCTTAAGAACACAAAGGCAAATCTCTCTTCTTATGGAAAGAATCAGGGGATCCTTAATGTTCATTCAGAGCAGACAGGACCTTGGATTTAAGAGAGACAGACACTCTCTCTCTCTCTCTCTCAACTTTGCAGTGATCTAAATGCATGGTTCCATAGAGTCTTAAGTGTTTCAAACCTGATGCTTAGATCATTAAGATGTGATCTCTGGGATAATGTAATATCCAGAAACTGTGGAACCTCCTTTGGGAAGATTAATGTACCAGTCCCATGATCGTGTTTCGGATGATGGATAAAAAAGATAATGTACTCTGAGTGCCTGGGGCCCTTCTTATTTATTTATTTAATATAATATATAACTCCTGTAGCAATTTAAACATATAAAGCATTATACAAGTAACCCATATTGGAATACGCAACCAAGCCTTAGTTATTGCAGTAGAGCAAAACATTTAGTTTGCACGGAAACCAGCCAATTATTATAAATGTGTCTGACAAGGTGCTTGCAGAACTTTATGTGCCTTGGGCCAAATTGACCACAGGTATAGCCTAGTGAGATCGATGTTGGAATGTGAGAATGAATTTTGTTCCATTGGCATTTTTTATTTGAATTTAAAATAGGAAATCTTAAATAATATGCTTTGGAGTCTTCTGTCATAGGAAGGGTGCAGGGAATTTACAATTAAAATAACATTCTGCAGCTCAAACTTGACAAAGGGTTTGAATTTTCTTCTGATCTTATGACTGCATTATATTTGTTTCAAAATCAATAGAAGTTCATGAAGTACGCTGTGTTCCCCTGTTTGCTCAGGGCAGGCAGCCACTTCTGAATAAATTAGAAAAGGCAGTATATGAGGGGATAGGATTAGGCTGCCAAGTGATCGCTGAATCATTTCACTACATAAAGAATGAGTTCTATTGTCTAATCCACTTTTCATTATAGAACATGAGTTCACTTAGTGATAAATTGTTTTTACTGCGTGATGCTGCAAAACAAACTTGCTTTGATAATCACAGATATCACTTGTTCTACAATGTTTGTGTTGTGCAATAAAAACGTGCTGTAACATTTGAACACTTGCCTATAAGAAAAATACAGTGCGTGCGTAAGTTGCTATGTCTGAATCGCAAGCTAAAGGTGCAGTACTAACTGGTGTATTCATCACAGGTTTTTGAAATCTGGGAAAATCAAACCAGTGATCCATGAAGGTATTGGGTGTAGAGGAAACCCCCAGTGCTCTGCTCATCAAACTGAAGGATTCTAATCACCCTACAGTGAGAGTTTCTCTTTGGTTGGTAGCGTGGACTGTATGCCTAGCAAAACATTTGCAGGGCAACTCCATGTAATAGCACCAATGCTGGGTTTGAAAGAAGTCTAGGTGCCGCCTTTTGCATTAGAAGCAAAATATGTTGGGAGGGGAATTGAGGAGTAAATGGTAGAAAAATTATTCCTTTCTGCACACTGAGGTATTTGAAATGTACATTTTAAAATAGATTCTCCTAATTCAGTAATGGTAGCTGGGTATTTTACATGGAGTACACATTCAGTTCCTGTGGAGGTGGCAGTGCTGGGACAGGAGAGGGAGTGGAATAGAAACGAAGGACATTGAGAATGGAAATGTAACCAAATTACCAGTTAACTAAAATCTGTCATAGATTCCTTTGGAAATGACTCAGAACTAAGAGGATGCGGGTGGGATGGACTAGGGTTAGAATAGACTCCCTGGAACCATGGTTTCGAATCCCATCAGGGTCAACTTGGCCCTTCATTCTTCTGTAGCACATAAGTAGAATGTCACATAATTTGCTGTGGGCGTGCATGTGTGTGTGCTTTCAGGTATGAAACTTTAACATCTGAGGTGTTTTGCCTGTTTTGCAAGGACATCAACGATTCTGTGGTACTCTTTGAAAGAATAGAGCTTTGTTCTGGTATCCATGGCCAACGTTTACTACTTCTCACTGTCGTGTAGCATAATCTGCATCACCGAGGTGGCTGCACTTTGGTGGTACTGCATGATTACTATTTTTTATTAATTTTTTTATTGCCGTAACATTTAGAAACCCCAACTCACCATAATAGATATTGTAGAAACACATAACAAAAAGACCGTGCCTGCTCCAAAGAGCATAAGTGTATATACTTTGAGATGGAAGATGCTACAGTATACAGTTGTAAACTAAGAATATGCTGTAGCTCTATACAATTATTTCAAGTTGCTATATGTAACGTTATAGTGAGGCAATGGTTAGAGGACTTTTTAGTTTAGAATGTATTTTAGATTTTGAGGAGCAAGCCTTTTGTGTTGCCTTAGGTAACTCATAGTCATTACCACTATTGTCTTTTTAATGAAGATCTATAGAATAAAAAACCGAATATACAGTTAGATGGACTGGTAAAAGCCTAAGGGGAGAGAGAGGAGTCAAGATTATAGAGAAACTGTAACATGAAATATTTCTCAATTTATTAACTTTTACAATATTGCTGTTTTGTGTATCAGTAAAGCATTTAAGATCAGCCTTGCAAAATCATGAAAACTTACCAACACAAACAATCTACTGTACCTGCCTATCTCCATGAAGACAATACTTTTGTCATCTATCGAAAAAACAAAAATTTGTCATGCGTGAGTCAGACTTTGCAGAGCTGATCTTAAAGATGCACAAGTCTGTGTATATAGATTGAGATTCCTTTTGTAAAGTGTATTTTGCAAACAAGAAGTGCCGCTATCTCATATTGATGAATAGATTTTTATTTATTTATTTATTTATTTATTTATTTAGACTTATGTCTACATGAGACCCTAGAAAGCTTGGCTGCAGCCATGATTTGTATATGATTTGTTTTTTTCTGGCTAGTACTTTTATTTTGTGAATTTGGAAATCAGCCTTGTAATTTTATTAAACAAAATAATTTTAGAATTATTATTATAATCATAAATGCCAATTTAAGATGCTAAACTCCATACTGACTTTGGGGTTCTGTAACTTCCCTAGTGGACAGGATTCCTCACTGCATGTAATGGTTCATAATGGCAGTTGATGCTCAAACAGGCTCTCAGACTTGGCTGATGAGTTGACTGATCTTTTTGTGCTTCTGCAAAATGGTTCTCCAGGTCATATTGGGGTAGCCTGAGCAGTGACTTCACATTAAGAAGTCCTTGTTCTGCTGCTGCTGTTTTATAACTTCTTTCATCAGCCCCCCAAAATAAAAAGTAAACTCTTCTTCCTCTGTTATCCAGTATCAACTAAAATAGCTAAGTTCTACGCTTGAGGCATCAGATAATTTGATGGAATATTGCTGCTTTGATTTTATATACCACTTTTATTCCTTCACGATAAATTTCCCAGCAGTAGGCTCCCCTCCCCACAACAGGAGGAGGTTCGTGCTTATTAACCCCCCCCCCCCCCCCCCCCCCCCCCCCCAAGTTTAATTTACTGCCACCTTATAGGTGCTCGGAGGCAAAGTAAAGAAACCAGGCAAACGAGGTCGTAAACCAGCCAAAATAGATTTGAAGGCAAAACTTGAGAGAAGTCGTCAGAGTGCAAGAGAATGCAGAGCGAGAAAGAAGCTGAGATACCAGTATCTGGAAGAGCTGGTATCAAGCAGAGAGAGAGCAATCTGTGCACTTAGAGAAGAGCTGGAAATGGTAAGGAATTTTCTTCTAACCTAAACCTGGGTTTGGGCTAGATCCTGCTCTTATTGAAGTCATTGAGAGTTTTGCTATTGACTTAAATGAGAGCACGATTAGGTCATACGATGTCAAAATCACAAGAACAAATATGTTGAGTGCTTGCTTGGTTTGCATGTTGAATATGATCCTGGTATAAGAAGAGGTTTACAAGATTAGTCATATTTGTACTAGATATAGGTAAGCAAGGTGACTGCTGTGCATGAGTTTGTCATCTTAAAGTCTTATTTCTTATATCTGGGAAAGTGTCTGATTTCAAAGGCTGGGAAGGGGCATACTGAAATATTGATATGTAGAGTCATCTGTAGTTTGTAGACATGTTCAGCCAGCTTTTGCTTTTGTGCATGTAGCTGACTCTCCATGCACAAAATAGTATTTGTATGTGTAGCTTGTGTAGTTGGTTGCTCAGCTGTCCAGTTCTCATTGTGTGCACAAAATGGGTGTATGTACACTTTTGCAGGCACAGTAAATTGGTGGGCAAAAGTGAGCTTGAAAAATTGAGGCATTGGTTGGAAATTTAGTCTTTGTTAGGCTGTGTTCTGAGCTACCCAAAATAATCAACTTTAAGAATCAGTTGATAGTCAAACAACAATCCTTTACTTTCTCTTCTTTGATTGGTAGCTTTTATTTATAGTTTAACCAGTAGAGGTTAGGTTGGTAACCTCTATTTTCCCTCAAAACCAAAAAAGTTTGTATGTTTTGTAGCCCACTAATGAGGAAGTTTTAATCAGTTATGATGTGGCTGAAAGGAAGGGAAGCGTCCCATAATTCTTGCTTGCAGAGTACCAGAAAAGAACTCCTGAGTATCCACCAGCATTAGATTGATGTGAAATCATTGTTTTTAAAGGTGCTGAGCTGGAAGAGTATTCTGCCTATTGTCATGCCAGTAAATGCACACACTGTTCTTTACAGTTAAATAATTACTGTATTGTAGTATGTAGCACAGCCACCAGTAGTAGTTTTATTAACTGAAGCAAGATTTACTCAGGCCAGGTATGCAATCACGGACACGTGCTTGACTCATCAGCAATCATGTAAAAGGCTCCAGACTAGTAAATGTAGACCTTAAATGAAGATACCAGAAGGTAAAGATTACAGCTTTGTTTTGTCTGCTAATGTGATCTTGCCAGTTTGTTAGTGCTTAATGTGTTTGCATATTTCAGTACAAGCAGTGGTGCATGGCAATGGACCAAGGGAAAATCCCCTCTGAAATAAAAGCCTTGCTAACTGGAGAGGAGCAAAGCAAAGCACAGCAGAACTCAACCAAACTTGCCAAGGCTGGGAAGACAGAAACACACAGTAACAATCCCTGTGAGTATCATGCCTGTGATAACAAAATAGGAACTGAGTCTTTCTTCGTGTAGGAATGCCATGGTGGTAGGCAGATGCATAAGGATGTGTTCTCGTACACAAATGATCGATTGTAGCATTGAGACAAAGGGTTTAGTGGGGTGTATAAAGACTTTATGTGATATTTACATAAACAAGTACAACACTGCTGTTGTAGTAGCTGCAAAGCTGGGTGATAATTTTCAAGAGAAATTGACACGTTTCAGAGCAGAAGATGTTTTCCCTATGATGAAATATTAAACATTTGACCTGTTCTGTAGAATGCAAGCAAGAGAAGGGAAACTGCAACTTTTAACAAATTATATCTTAGCAAAAGTTAAATGGAATTTCATGGGCCAAAGAAAAGGCACTTTATAAGAGTGAAGGCTTTTCCCCTGCTGAATATCAAAGGCCTGCTGCAAACAATGGAGTTGTGAGAACTTCCCAAAGAAAAGGTAATGAGAATTCTTTCTAATGAAGCATTTTAGGCTGTCTAAGTAAAAGGGCTGTTATCAGCATGCTTTTTGTGTACTGAGGTTATAAAGACATAAGAACATAAGAGTGGCTTTACTGGGTCAGACCAAGGTCCATCTAGCCCAGTATCCTGTCTTCCGACAGTGGCCAATGCGAGGTTCCCCAGGGGGAATGAACAGAACAGATAATCATCAAGTGATCCATCCACTGTCACTCATTCCCAGCTTCTGGCAAACAGAGGCTAGGGACACCATTCCTGCCCATCCTGGCTAATAGCCATTGATAAGACATATCCTCCATTAATTTATCTAGTTCTTTTTTGAACCCTGTTATAGTCTTGGCCTTCACAACATCCTCTGGCAAGGAGTTCCACAGGCTGACTGTGCGTTGTGTGAAGAAATACTTCCTTTTATTTGTTTTAAACCTGCTGCCTATTAATTTCATTTGGTGACCCCCTAGTTCTTGTGTTATGAGAAGTAGTAAACAACACTTCCTTATCTACTTTCTCTACACCAGTCATGATTTTATAGACCTCAATCATATCTCCCCTTAGCCGTCTCTTTTCCAAGCTGAAAAGTCCCAGTCTTATTCATCTCTCCTCATACGGAAGCCGTTCCATACCCCTAATCATTTTTGTTGCCCTTTTCTGAAACTTTTTCAATTCCAATATATCTTTTTTGAGATGGGGTGACCACATCTGCACCCAGTATTCAAGATGTGGGCATACCATGGATTTATATAGAGTCAACATGATATTTTCTGTCCTATTATTTATCCCTTTCTTAATTATTCCCAGCATTTTGTTCGCTTTTTTGACTGCCGCTGCACATTGAGTGGATGTTTTCAGAGAACTATCCACAATGACTCCAAGATCTCTTTCTTGAGTGGTAACATCATTTTATATGTATAGTTGGGATTATGCTTTCCAATGTGCATTACTTTGCATTTATCAACATCTGCCATTTTGTTGCCCAGTTTTGAGAGATCCTTTTGTAGCTCTTCATAGTCTGCCTGGGTCTTAACTATCTTTAGTAATTTTGTATCATCTGCAAATTTTGCCACCTCACCGTTTACCCCTTTTTCCAGATCATTTATGAATATGTTGAATAGGACTGGTCCCAGAACAGACGCCTGGGGGACACCACTATTTACCTCTCTCCATTCTGAAAACTGACCATTTATACCTACCCTTTGTTTCCTATCTTTTAACCAGTTACCAATCCATGAGAGCACCTTGCCTCTTATCCAGTGGCAGCTTACTTTGCGTTAATGCCTTTGGTGAGGGACTTTGTCAAAGGCTTTTTGAAAATCTAAGTGCACTATATCCACTGGATCCCCTGGGTTCACAGGCTTGTTGACCCCCTCAAAGAATTCTAGTAGATTGGTGAGGCATGATTTCCCTTTACTAAAACCATGTTGACTCTTGCTCAACAAATTGTGTTCATCTATATGTCTGACAATATTGTTCTTTATTATAGTTTCAACCAGTTTCAGGCACCCCTCTCACAAGACTATACTGAGACAAGAAGTGCACTATCGTCTTCATTTAGGAGCAATAAAGCCAGTCCATCTCCTCACATGGGGAAAGGGTTTTACTCAAAGTATTTCCTCGTGCCATAGAAGGACATAGGGTGGTGATGGCTCTTGGATCTAAGACTACTGAACAAATTCGTAAAGTCTCAGAAGTTCAGGATACTGACTCTGGCAGCTATAATTCCTTATCTAGGGGCTGGAGATTGGTTTTTGGCCCTCGACCTACAGGTCACCTATTTCCGTATAGTGATACACCACCCTCCCCACAGGAAATTACCTGCGTTTTACCATGGGCCAGGATAATTTTCAATACTGAGTACATCCCTGTTCTCAAAGATTCCAGCTGCTTACCTTTGGTGGGAAACGATTTTAGTCTTCCTATATTTGAACAATTGGCTACTCAGGGCTGACCTTATGAAGCAGTACTGACTTGTATCCTGATGGCCCTTTCTCTCTTCCAGGAATTGGGTCTTCAGCTAAATATTAAAAAAAATCCATATTAGCACCTGTACAGAGAATACAATTCTTAGGGGCGTACTTGGATTAGTCGGCAGCCAGGGCTTACCTTCCCACAGACAGATTCATAACTGTGTCTGATCTGGTTGGTCGGGACAGTTCAAGGAAGCCCCTGTACAATAAGGAACTGTTTACAGCTCCTAGATCATATGGCTGATTGCACCTTTGTGACTGAGCATGCAAGCCTACGCCTCCGCTGCTTCCAGGGCTGGCTCAGAAGGACCTATTCGTCAACCTGACACAGCCTAGACAAACAGATCACGGTTCCCCTCCAGTTGAAGAACTCCTTAGATTGGTGCAAAAATCAACTCAGTGTCTGTGCAGACATCCCTTTCATTGCCATGGTCCAACAATAATTGTGAATGGATGCATCACTATTGGGTTGGGGAGCATACCTGAATGGCCTGAGAAACCAGTCTCCATATCAACCTGTTGGAATTCAGGGCAGTCAGGGATGCCTGCCTTCAGTTCCTACCCCTCATCGGGGCAAATCTATCAGGATCATGACAGACAATGTGGCTTGCATGTTTTATATCAGCAAACAGGGAGGAGCAAGATCCCCCACCCTGTGCGCTGATGCTATAAATTTATGGAACTGGTATATAGTCCATCAGATTCAGATCTCAGCTGTTTACTCTCCTGGAGTCCAGAATGTCACAGCCCATGTGCTCAGAGGAGCTTCTCCCGAGACTATGAATGGGAGTTGGACTTCCATGCATTCGCTCCAATACTGCTAATATTAAGAGTGATGAACAAGATCAGACAGAACAAGACTAGGCTTATTTTTATAGTACTGACATGGCTGAGCCAAGCTTGGTATCCTTACCTGCTTTACCTGTGTGTCCATCTGTTGTTCAAGCTTCCAACCACTCCTCATCTCCTCTCCCAGGATGCAAGTCATGTGCTTCACCCCAACCTAGGAGTCCTCCGCCTCTGAGCATGGCTTTTATGTGGTTTATAGGATTGGAGTCCACCTGCTCAACAGAGATACCACAAGTATTACTAAACAGCAGAATGGAGTCAGCTCGAATAACTTATCTTCAGAAATGGAAAAGATCCAACCAGTGGTGTCACCATCGCCGACTTGTGCCTACATCCACCTTGTTCACAGCCATACTGGATTACCTGCTGGACCTAAAGAAATCAGGGTTATCAATTAGCTCGATTAAGGTTCACCTGGCCGTAATATCAGCATTTCATTCTTCACTAGAAGGACTTTCCATATTTACCCACCTTGTGCCCTCAAGATTTTGAGGAGCTTCTACCTCCGGATTAAGGATCCCACTCCAACTTGGGTTCTCAGCCTAGTACTCAAATATCTCATAAGACCTCCATTTGAACCTATGGCAACCTACTCCTTACTTCATTTATCTATGAAGAAGGTCTTTTCTAGTAGCTATCATGTTGGCCTGTAGGGTTGGGGAAATTGGGGCCTTGATGGCAGCCCTCCACCCCCATTTACCTAAAGTGCTATTGGATTTTCATCTTACCCAGTCCATTCATCTACTGGTGTTTTTCCCAAAACCACATAAGTCTCAGCTGGAGACCTGCTTTCATACCTTAGAGGTTAGATGGGCATTAGCCTTCTATCTAGGTAAGAGCTAGCAATTTTGGAAATCACCTAGACTGTTTGTCTCCATTGCTGAGAGAACCAAGGGATTCTCAATCTCCACCCAGAGACTTTCAAGATGGATCTCTGGGTGTATTGTAACTTGCTATGACACAGCGGGTGCTCTGTCCACCCTGGGGATAATAGCACACTCTATGAGATCAGAAGCAACACCCACAGCTTTATTCAAAATCATTCCAATGTCTGAGATATGTAGAGCTGCTACATGGGCCTCAGTGCATGCTTTTTCTAAGTATTATGCCTTGATCCATGCTGCCAGATTGGATGTGGCGCTTGTAATGCAGTACTGTCTTCAGTCGTGGACTCCATTCTGAAGCTCGCTTCCTCCTCCCTCTGGGAATACTACTTGGGAGTCACCTGAAGTGAAGCATCCACACTACTTTAAGAAGAAGAAGAGGTGACTCACCCTGTATAGTAATTGTAGTTCTTCCACTACCTGCCCTCCTTCTCCTCTGATTTGGACAGTTCTTTGATGTTCGGATAGAGAGGGAACTGCTGAGGGTTCAGCCCTATATATCCTCGTTGTCCAGTGTGAGGTTGTATGGATAGCTGAATAGACACTGCTCAGGGTGGATAAACATCAATGATTCTTAGATTTTTATTTTTTTTATTTTTTTTATTTTATTTAAATCGGATTTTTTTGATAAAATACTTTTTGAGGAAAAAACCTATCTAAAGATAGTTTTAATTAAGATACATTATAGCTCAAAGATATCCTGGAATAGGTATTATAAAATCTAATTCTATAGTAGCAGACAATATATTCATGTAATGGTTAAGAAAAGTTTTATAAATGAGTTCCAATAGTTCATGGATTAGGGACCTAATCTTATGGGGTTCCATGGGCTTCTGTTTTGATTATTTAGATTAATCTTTCTATCTACCTAATGGGACTCAGTGCTCAGTCTAGAAGATACCAACAGAGATGCTTAGTTTTGCAGTTCTCAAACTGTGGATTTGTGGCTCCAGAGATAACATGGTTGTTAACAGCAAAAATGTTTTAAAATAAATAAATAAATAACTATATAAAGGTGAGAAATAACAGACCTCAACCCTCTTGTCCCTCTGCAAATTTGTGTACACAGAGTCAATCCCTTACCTCTCTCTAAAAGTGAAAAGTTTCAAAAAGTTCAATGAATAGAAGATTGTTGGGGACGGAATAGATCTGGACAAGGAGAAGAAGTCTGGAGATAAATGTGAGAAGGGAGGGACAGGCATTAGAAACAAAAATGAAACTGTTTGAGCAGCATATTCCAGAAGTCTTGAGGTCTTTCTGAGTGTAGCCTTCATTGATTTGAGATCTACCATACCATTCTCTCACTAAAAGGGAAAACCTATAATGGCAGCAGGCCATAAAAGAGACCCAGTTTGGGAATAAGAACCATTCAAGAAATATATGTTTGCTGCTGATGTTTTAAAGAAAGTCACACCAGTGAACTGGTGGAAGTCACTTAAACACTTGGATTCAGAGACTGTTGAAGTGATAATCTCACTTTTAACAGCAGTAGCTTCTTCTGCCAGTGTAGAAAGAATATTTTCTTCCTTTGGACTAATTCATTCCAAATTGAGAAATCGTTTGGGACCTGAAAAAGCAGGAAAGCTTGTTTTTCTTTTCCAGATTATGAACAAACAGGAAAATGAAGGTGAAAGACGACTGAGTTATCTGCAGAAGCCAGTATTTTAAGTTTCTCATGTTGACCTAGCTGACAGAGTCCATTTAATTTTTGGGTTTTTTAAAAAAATATTTCATTACACCTCCTTCTCTCCCTCCATCCATTTTTAATTATTTCATTATGAAAGCTCATTTGAAGGTTTCTTGCACAATAAATTTGTTTTATTGGGGGGAAACAGGAGTTGGAATTTCCACCCTGTCCTAAATATAGAGGGAAGAGTAGCATAAAATCCCTCCTTGGCAGCTGTACTGAATCGCCTTACCTGTAAGGGGTTAAGCAGTTCAAATAACTTAGTTGGCACCTGACCAGAAGGACCAATGAGGAAAGAAGATACTTTCAAATCTGGGGGGAAAGGATTTGTTTGTCGTTCTCTTTTGTTATTCCCTCTCCGGACGGAGGGAGTAGCCACACAGGTACAATATCTCCTGAAAATATGCCTGGAATAATCCATCTAAAACCACAGAAATTGTATGTAGGGCAAGGAAATGCGTTAGGTTATCTTTTGTTTTGGGCTTGTGAATTTTCCTATGCTACAAAGGCAGTTTTATTCCTGTTTTTGTAACTGTGAAGCTGAGCCCAGAGGGGAATCCTCTGTGTTTTAAATCTTTTTATTATCCTGTAAAGTTACCTTCCATCCTGATGTTGCAGGTGTGATTCTTTTACTTTTTTCTTTATAATAAAGTTCTTCTTTTAAGAACCTGATTGATTTCAGTGTCCTGAAGACAAAGGGTCTGGTCTGTGTTCACATTTCTAAGGCAATTGGTTGGTATATTATTCTCAAGCCGCCCCAGGAAAGGGGGTGAAGGGGTTTGGGGGGATATTTTGGGGAAGTAGGGATTCCAAGTGACCCTTCCCTGAATTTTTGTGTAAATCACTTGGTGGTGGCAGCAATACCATCCAAGGACAAGGAAAGGAATTTGTGCCTTGGGGAAGTTTTAACCTAAGCTGGTAGAATATAAATTTAGGGGGTCTTTCATGCGGGTCCCCACATCTGCACCCCAGAGTTCAAAGTGTGTGTGTGGGGGGGAAACCCTGACACACCCCCACCTTAAATTTCCCATCATGGTGAGCATCGGCTTCCGCATTTGCTGCCCTTCACCTCATTAATGGGTGTGGCTTTCTGGATTAGCCAGCCATTGGTCTTCTAGGAACCTCTTGTCTAAGATGCCGGTCCACAGTCATCTGGCACATATAGTGTATTTGTGTTCTCATACCGTTGTTTTGGGTGGGATAAAATGGTTATAGAATTAGGTAAAGGAAATATGTTATAGCCTATGTCATGACCATGATCTGTAATAGAGTTGTCTATGCTGCAAACCAAAATATGTGTAGGCACACAGGTGCTGCTGTCTGTATCAGACAGCTGTATGCTGTCATAGCTAGACAGTTAGTAAAGATGGTCCAAACAGTAGTCTATTTGGTATCCTCCTGGCTTGCCTCAGACGCTGTAGTTCAATAACAAACCATTGAACTTGTTTCAGGAATCACTGTATGAAATTCTATGGCCTGTGTTATGCAGGAAGTCAAACTAGATTATAAATGTTTCTCTCACCTTAAAATCTGTTAATCTTCATGAGCCCTTCATTTTGGGGCTCATTAAATTCATCAGCTCCACTTGGAAACTGGTGTTTTAAAACTAATCTTATTCTTGCACACACGGTACCCTGTGCCTGTGGATCTTGTCTGTACACAAAACAACTCCCAGAACTGCTCCCCAGTAAAGAACAAATCTGGTCCTTCAAGTCGGGATGCCATCCAGTACACTAGATAATAAAGTGACTCTCCCCCATAATTCCTGTCAGTGAAAGAGGTGTTTGACCCTCTCTCCCTGTCCCCCTTCCCTTTCTACCATTGTAGCTATAGCCATGCAGGCAGCTCGCTATCTCCTGGAGAGATTGAAGGAGAAGGGGAGAGCATCTCATATCCCCACCTATCACAAAAGAAATCTAAAAGTCAGTTAGGACTTCAGGCCCATTGGGGGGAGTGTGGATATGGGGATAGAAATTATCCAAAGACTTCCCAAAACCTTGTTAGGTGAACCCTAGCACTTCTTGGATTTGTAACAAAACCCAGCACTTAATTTCCGTGCACTGCTGTTCTGCCGTGTTTTGTATGTGCATGAAGTAGACAGGAAGGACCTGATTCACCACCGCTTTACTCCAACGGAACACCCATATAATTCCATTAGAATCACCTGAGTTCATTAGCATAATACTGGTGGAATATAACAGGGAATCAGGTCCAAGGAGTTCTGAGATAATTGTAAGAAAAAACCCCACTGTAAATCTTTCCCTTTTTCATCCCAGGTATTTATTTGATGTATGAAATCATGAAAAATGTGAGGGGATGGATTTGGTATATCTGCCACTTCACAGAGAAGGTTTTGGCTAATTATATATTTTTTAAGACCCATCAGTCATGGTTTGCTTTCATAACTGGATAATAAGAAGTGTTCACCGAGGAATCTGGATTTCATGAAGTGCTTTTCAAAAGTATTTTATAACCTACATGTTGTTATTAAAATGTATTAGATTTCAAAAGGCTTTTCTTTTTCTTGACAGCTGAAACCATGACTATGTGTAGAAGAGTCCTTGTGATTATGATTGATTTTCTTTTTCAGGGTGAAAGTTGTTCAGCTGATATGGAAGTCAGCGGTGAATCCAATCCTGCTTGGCATCCCGTGAAAGAATGGAGAAAATTTTGCTTCAGAGTTCTGTTTGCTGTCTGTTCTGTGTGATCTTTTCAATTGTTACACCACAAAAATCAGTGTTAATATCACCATAAAGAGGTTGACACTAGCCCACAAATGTATAGAAATTCAGAGGTAAGGCTGAAATTCGATTTTAACCAATGCCTGCTTAAGTATTGTAGCATATGTGACATGTAAGATCACCTGATATCGATACCCCTTCTGTAGGGAGGGGGAAGAGAAAATTTCAGCCTTAACACTAAATTTCCGTCTTGTTAATACTATGTAATGTTCTCTTGGTTTTGGCTTTTTGTATAATTTAATTTGTTTATTACTTTTTATGGTGGTTACTTGGGGGGGGGGGGGCTATTAATCTGCAGGAAGATATGAGGTCTCATGCTCCTGATTTTGCATCAGCAGACCAAGATCAAGTTGAATTTGTGTTTGTGGTATGCATATGTGGCATACATTGTAACGTCTCCCTTTAACCATTCTTGCAGAAGTTGTTAATATGTATTAGTGATACTGTCATTTGCATTGCTGTTCTCTGTCTTGTCTCCTTTAAATTGTGACTAGAAAATATTAAGAGCCTTATTTCTTTACTAATGAATTGCAGCAACCTCATTTTTTTAAAAAAGAAACACTGGTTTTCAGTTACTTTTGAAGTCACTGAACTTACAGTGGGCCTGATCCCTAGTCAATGGAAGCTTTTCCTGGGTAGAATGAAGGAGTAAACCCACTTGGTCTTATGTTCCCCTTTAACTCAAGACTAGCTTTAATTAATTACACTGACAATGTTAACTATGGCTTCAAGCCATAGTTCTTGCATACATAGGCTTGGCAGAATTTGATTTTTTTTTTTATATAATATTGATGTTTATTTGTGTTTTTTCCTACTTTAGTGATATTTTTTACAGGTGCACAAAATTATGGGTTTTAAGCATTTTTTGATTTCTATAGATTTAAATATTGACAATTGCAGGAAATTATGGGGGTGGGTCAGAAAATGGGGGTGAGGGGAGACAATAATCAAGAGTAGACATAGAGAATCAAAAAGTTAAAGCTTCATAGCCATTAAAATAAATTGTCAACATCATATGTTGAAATATACAAAATAAATATCCTTAAATCAAACCCTGATAAGAAAAATGCTGCTTGAGAACTTACTTTGCTGATTTCAGTTATCAATGGAAATATTTTTTTCATATGTTTGTGTATGGTAAAATTGACATTTACAGACATTGATCAATAAAAATCAAATCCTTCCAAGCTTATGTATATGCCATGTTGTCTTTGGGTGGGGGATATAACAAAGTGAGGGTGGAAAATGCTGACCAGCCGTTAGCAACAGTGGAGCTAAGTGGCGCTCTGGTGATAAAGTAAGATTCCATTCTGGGACAAGAGGCTATAAGTGGATTGCAAAATGTATGTTTCAATGAACCAGCATGTTTGAAGTAAATACAAAGCTCATCTTGGTATGGATGATGGTTTCTCCATTCAATCCTTCTTCCCTGGAAACTGGCAAATAGTTTGATTTAAAATTACGTGGTGCTGGCCAAAGCAATGGTTTACCATTGGTGTCCTATAGCTTTGCCATCTAGGTTGATGGGAAAAGCTATGGAATGTTCCTAATACCTGCTGTTGTGAGAACACTTCTCTCTGACCCTTTTCTCCACATATAAATCCTCCTGTCTATGTCTAGGCTGCCGGATTGGTTTTCAGTTTTTGTTTGTTTGTTGGGCAGTACTTGGAATTTCCCCATGTGCCTTATCTCTGCCCCCAGGGCCGTCCCTAGCCATTTTGGTGCCCTACGCAGCCCCCTCCCCCCCCCCCCCCCCCCCGGGGGGGGGGGGGGGGGGCCCCCGGCCCCCCAGGGGGGGAGGGGGGGCTGGCCCCAGGCCTCTGCGGGGGGGGCAGGAGCAGGCTTGGGGGCAGGGGGGAAACCACCCCCCAGCACGAGCCAGCGGAGTGGGTTGGGGCCGGGTCGCTTCACTTCCTGCTGCCCGTTGATTGCAGGCGGGCCCGACCCCGCACTCATGGGGCAGCAGGAAGTGGAGTCACCCGGCCCCAGCCCGCTCTGCTCTGCTCCCCTGGCTCCCAGCCTTGGGGCTTGGGGGGTTGGGGGGGAACCGCCCCCCAGCACTCACCAGCAGCGCGGCTGGGAGCCGGCAGCGCAGAGCAGGTTGGGGCTGGGTCGCTTCACTTACCGCTGCCCCGTGAGTGCAGACCCGACCCCTACTGCAGTCCTCAGGGGAAGGGGCGGAGTGGGGGCGGGGCTGGGGGCGGGGCTGGGGCCGAGCAGAGGTAGGGCGGGGGCCATGGGGAAGAGGCAGAGCAGGGGCTGGAGCAGCACACAGCTGCGTACTTTGCGTATGGGTAAGGACGGCCCCGCCCCACACGCAAAGCCCTTCTGTAACACTTCTTCCCCTGGCTATGACACTCCTTGCCCCTTTGACTGAGTAGGCCTGATCTTAGCTCCCATCAGAAGCTGTCATGTCTCTCTGAATGTCAGTTCTCTGGCATTACTTGAAAACACTTGGCATACTGATTACACTTTGAGGAAGGTAGAACACCACTAGCCTATAATAACTGTACAGAAGTTAAAAGCATTATTAGGTGTTTGAAATCTTCTGGGCACACTTTAAACATTTCTGTCTCTTGCAAATTTGTGGGTCTTTTTTTAGCATTCTAGGATTTGGATTATGCTGGTTTACGTGTTCCTTAAACTCCTGTGTTGCCCACTTCAAGCTTTGACAGTAGTGAAAAGTGGTACTAAGGCCTTGTCTACACTGGCACTTTACAGCGCTGCAACTTTCTCGCTCATGGGATGTGTAAAAACACCCCCCTGAGTGCAGCAAGTTTCAGTGCTGTAACGCGCCAGTGTAGACAGTGCCCCAGCGCTGGGAGCGCTGCCGCAGCAGTGCTTTAGCATTGCTAGTGAAGACGTGCCCTAAGACAGAAGGCTAAATGGTCTGATCTGTATCGGTAAAACTCCTGTTGAAGCCAAAGGAAAATGCACTTGTGTGAGAAGTATTTGGTCCAAAGGGCCTAATTCACCTGTCTTGTCAGCAATAATATAAGTAATACTTAGCTCTTACATAGTGCTTTACATCTATACAGCTCAAAACACTTTACAAAGGAGGGCAGTATCAACCCATTTTACAGAGAGAGGAAAGTGAGGCACAGTGAGGAAAGTAACTTGCCCAATGTCACCCAGCAGGCTGGTGGAAGAGGCAGGAATAGAACTCAGGTCTCCTGAGTGTGTCTGTGTAGATAAGCCTTAAGTGTAACATGTTTTATATACATATATACTCCAGTCCTGGAGCAGTGATGGTCACAAACAGCATGCAGAGTAATCCCCTTTTTCAGGAATTTCAGCCAAAACCATGGCCCAGTTTCCAGGAAGCAACTTTGCTTCAAATATTGACTTCAAGCAGAGCCAAAGGGAGAGAGAAAATGCTCAGGCTGCTCTCACAGCTCCCTCTAGCCAGAACCTTGCATAACAAAACGAACATCACACACATCTTCCTAAGACTGAACATTTACTCGCACACTGGACGATGATCTTGTAAGATTCTGTGTAACAGCACCATCTGGTGATAACTGCCACAATGTTATATTCCAGGAGGGTCTAGTGCTGTATCTGCTAGCCTACACTGTGCCTCAGTGTAAACAAGAGTAACTTCACCCAAGTAAACACAATTACAATATTAATTTGGTTTGAGATCAGAATCGTTTCCAGATACTTTAAAACAGAAAAGGGGTGGAAATGGGTGGTACACATCTGGGACAAGCTATACTCCTAAAACGAGTATTTTCCTCTCAAATTGTGAGGTTTTAGAGAGTCGCTTCTGCTTTCCAAAATACATCTCTGCACTACTTCCTTCATTTCACACAGCTTGTTCTTTCGGTCTGATCTGTCATCTCTTGAAATAAAATAGTAATTAGCCTTTTAATAGTAGTGAATAAACTGAAGGTTTTTGGATTTCCATTTTTGTGTTTGTTTAAAGTATGCCAGTTAATGTTGTCATTGATTAAAACCAACACAATCATTCCCTTAGCCACTACAGGAGTGTAATGGATCTGAAGTTTCCTACCCACCTGGACAAATAACAAAGAGCTGAGTGGCAGCGGGAGGAGGAGATAAATGTTTGTCTAATCCCTCTGACATTCACTCCTCTTACTGAATGAACACTGACAAGAAGGAGTCTGGTGGCACCTTAAAGACTAACAGATTTATTTGGGCATAAGCTTTCGTGGGTAAAAACCTCACTTCTTCGGATGCATAGAGTGAAAGTTACAGATGCAGGCATTATATACTGACACATGGAGAGCAGGGAGTTACTTCGCAAGTGGAGAACCAGTGTTGACAGGGCCAATTCAATCAGGGTGGATGTAGTCCACTCCCAATAATAGATGAGGAGGTGTCAATTCCAGGAGAGGAAAAGCTGCTTCTGTAATG